GGGCCCACAAATCTGCAATTAGATAGAGAGAGATAAGCAAGCTCACAATTTCTGCTGTGTTGTTTTGTCTGTTTGTGTCGTTAAGCAGGGGTAGGGGGTTTGAGGAGTCACCCAGAGTAAATCAAGTGGTGTGGGGCTTTAAAACCGCTGCCTGTGGACCCCTCCATCTGTGGGGCATTGGCTGCCATGGGAACAGTAGTTATGGCTCCTGTAGGACCCAGGATTGTGAAGAGACCAAGGTCCTTGAGAAAAGGGTAAAGACTGGGAGGAGGAGGCAAGGAAAGAGAGCCTGCTTCACTGGAGACTTACTTCTCCCACACATGTGAGAAGGAGATAGCTGACGGTCCTGGGCTAGTGCTGCCTAGCATCAGCCTGTCAGCCAGCACCCTCCCGCCCCCAGGGTGGCACACATTGGCACCATGCAAGACAAATGACGTGCTAAGGTAAGCGCTCGGTTGGCAAGCCCAGGCATCCCAGGAGAGACACGGCATGGGTATGGCCTCCATCCGGGCACTTCCAGGTAAATGGCCGTGCAGAAAGGTGAGAAAAGCAATGGTGTGGGGTGCATGTGTGTGCCCCTGTGCTGGTGTGTGTCTGAGAGAGAGAGAGAGCAGTGATGAAGCACGGTTGGGGGGCCGTTTGTATGCAGGGACCCTGGGGCAGTGAGAGACAGTTGGCAGTTCAGAGCCTGCTGGTTTTCGGACTCCAGGGGTTAGTGCATAGCAGTCCTGCAAAAGAGGCCCCATTGCTTGCTCCAGAAGTTTTGACATTACTTTCCTCCTTTCTTGGCAGTTTCTTCCTTGGCCATGGAGGGCAAAGTGTTAAAGGTGTCAGTCTGCACCTGAAGGAGAGTCCTGAAAGCCTCACGGGAGCACAACCTCTGCTTTCATCATGGAGTTCCTGAAGGAGACCTGCACCACGTGACTCTCACAGGGACCCTGGATTCTAAGTGAGTTTCTTGGATGTCCCCCGGCCCAACCATTAGCTGGGTTCGGTGGCCCACACTGTGTAAAAGAGTTAGGGAATGCCTGAGCTGTAGGCAGACCTACCACAGGCTAGTGAGGGCAGCAGAAAGAGAGCCTTGCCATTCATCAAGTCAGTGAGGCCTGGAGGAATCAACCCGTCTTGGTGCATTTAGGAGAGGAATGCTGCTTCCTGTACAAGGGAGAGGAGAGCTGTGGGCGTAGGGCGGACAGTCATGCCAGGGTGCCTTTCGTGTGGGGCTCTTTGTCGGTTGGTAGTAGTAAACTGTAGAGCCGACAGGAAGGGAGGCCAGCTTACCATTTCGGCTGTGCGTTCAGTGCTTCGTTTTGGCAGAGACCCTTTCGATCCATGTGCACCTTCTTCTCGGCACTGTATCAGAGTGAGAGGCCTGTCACATTCTCTTTGCCCTTTTGGGGGACCAGGAATCTATTTGGCCTTTTCCTGCTGCAGAAAGATAGCAATTGGGTGAAAATGAAAACAGTTGCAAACGGAAAAGTACAGAGTTAGGAAGAGCAGGGGAACCTCGCTCAGGAGGTGTCAGCCTCAGGGAGGGCGTGCTGGCCCTGCGACGAGCACGGCATTGGTAAGGAATGATCTTGAGAGGTGCACGCTGAGAAAAAGATGTTCTAAGTCAGCTCCATGTCCGTTTTTCCACGTCCAGTCCTAACTGGTGCTTCTTCACCTGTACACAGATTTCTCATGAGGCAGGTAAGGTGGTCTGCTATTCCCACCTCTTTAAGAATTTTCCACATTTTGCTGTGATCCACAACAAAGGCTTTGGAATAGTCAGTAAAGCAGAAGTAGATGTTTTCTGGGAACTCTTGCTTTTTTGATGATCCAACCGATGTTGGCAATTTGATCTCTCTGGTTCCTCTGCATTTTCTAAATCTAGCCTGAACATCGGAAGTTCACGGTTCACAAGCTGTTGAAGCCTGACTTGGAGAATTTTGAGCATTACTTTCCTAGTGTGTGACATGAGCGCAACTGTGTGGTCATTTGAACGTTCTTTGGCATGGCCTTTTGGATTGGAGTGAAAAGTGACCTTTTCCAGTCCTGTGGCTCCTGCTGAGTTTTCCAAATGTGCTGGCATATTGAGTGCAGCACTTTCACAGCAGCATCTTTGAGGACTTGAAATAGCCCAATTGGAATTCCATCAGTTCCACTAGCTTTGTTGGTAGTGATGCTTCCCAAGGCTCACTTAATTTTGCATTCCAGGATGTCTGGCTCTAGGAGAGTGATCACACTATCGTGGTTATCTGGGTCGTGATGATCTGTTTTTTATAGTCCTTCTGTGTATTCTTGCCACTTCTCCTTAGTATCTTCTGCTTCTGTTAGGTCCAAACCATTTCTGCCCTTTATTGTGCCCATCTTGGCATGAAATGTTCCCTTGGTATCCCTAATTTTCTCAAAGAGATCTCTAGTCTTTTCCATTCTGTCGCTTTCCTGTATTTCTTTGCATTGATCACTGAGGAAGGCTTTCTTATCTCTCTGTGCTAATTCTTTGGCTCTCTGTACTCAAATGGCTATAGCTTTCCTTTTCTCCTTTGCCTTTAGCTTTCCTTCAATTCTCAGCTATTTGAAACGCCTTCTCAGACAACCATTTTGCCTTTTTGCATTTCTTTTTCTTGGGGATGGTCTTGATCACTGCCTCCTGAACAATGTCACGAACCTCCATCCATAGTTCTTCAGGCACTTTGTCTATCAGATCTAATCCCTTGAATCTATTTGTCACTTCCACTGTATAATCATAAGGGATTTCACATAGATCATACCTGAATGGCCTGGTGGTTTACCCTACTTTCTTCAATTTAAGTCTGAATTTTGCAGTAAGGTGTACACGATCTGAGCCACAGTCAGCTCTTGGTCTTCTTTTTGCTGACTCTATAGAGCTTCTCCATCTTTGGCAGCAAACAATATAATCAATCTGATTTTGGTATTGAACAACTAGTGATGTCCATGTGTAGAGTCTTCTCTTGTGTTGTGGGCAAAGGGTGTATGCTATGACCAGTGCGTTCTCTCGGCAATACTGTTAGGCTTTGCCCTGCTTCCTTTTGTACTCCCAGGCCAAATTTTGCCTTTTTCTCCAGGTATCTCTTGATTTCCTACTTTAACATTCTAGTCCCCTATGATGTAAAAGACATCTTTTTCGGTGTCAGTTCTAAAAGGTCTTGTAGGTCTTCCTAGAACCATTCAAATTCAGCTTCTTCAGCATTGCTGGTTGGGGCATTGACTTCAATTAATCTGATACCGAATGGTTTGCCTTGGAAACGTGCAGAGATCTTTCTGTCGTTTTTGAGATTGCACCCAAGTCCTGCGTTTTGGACTCTTTTGTTGATTATGAGGGCTATGCCATTTCTTCTAAGGGATTCTTGCCCATAGTAGTAGATATATTGGTCATCTGAATGAATCCACCTAATCAAGTCCATTTTAGTTCACTCATTCCTATGATGTCAATGGTCACTCTTGCCATCACCTATTTGACCACTTCCAAACTACCTTGATTCACGGACCTAAGATTCCAAGTTCCTACGCAACGTTGTTCTTCATAGCATCAGATTTTCCTTCCAACATCAGTTACATTTTTCCTTGGCTCTGTCTCCTTATTCTTTCTGGAGCTATTTCTCCACTCTTCTCCAGTAGCATATTGGGCACCTAATGACCCAGGGAGTTCAATTTTCAGTGTCATATATTTTTTGCCTTTTCATACTGTTTCATTCCGAATTCGGAATGGAGTGTGTAATGCTATATATTGTCATCCTGCTTATTTAAATTATATGCAGAGTACATCATGTGAAATTCCAGGCTGGATGAAGCACAAGCTACAATCAAGATAGTCAGGAGAAATATCAACAACCTCAGATATGCGGATGACACCACCCTTATGGCAGAAAGCAAAGAAGAACTGAAATGCCTCTTGATAAAAGTGAAAGAGGCGAGTGAAAAAGTTGGCTTAAAAGTCAGCATTCCAATAACTAAGATCATGGCATCTGGTCCCATCACTTCATAGCAATAGATGGGGAAACATGGGAAACAGTGACAGACTTTATTTGAGGGGTGCTCCAAAATCACTACAGATGGTGACTGCAGCCATGAAATTAAAAGACTCTTGCTCCTTGGAAGAAAAGCTATGAGCAACCTTGACAGCATATTTAAAAGCAGAAACATTACTTTGCTGATGAAGGCCCATCTAGTCAAAGCTATGGTTTTTCCAGTAGTCATGTATGGACATGAGAGTTGGTCTATAAAGAACGTTGGGCACTGACGAATTCATGCTTTTGTACTGTGGCTTTGGAGAAGACTCTTGAGAGTCCCTTGGACTGTAAGGAGATCAAATCAGTCAAACCTAAGGGATATCAGTCCTGAATATTCCATGGCAGGTCTGAAGCTGAAGCTGAAACTCCAATATCTGACCACCTGACGTGAAGAACTGACTCATTGGGAAAGACCCTGATGCTGGGAAAGATCAAAGGTACAAGGGGAAAGATGACAGAGGATGAGATGGTTAGATGGCATCACTGACTATTGGACATGAGTTTCAGTAAGCCCCAGGAGTTGGTGATGTTCAGGGAAGCCTGGAGTGCTACAAGTCCTTGGAGTCGCAACATGTGGGACATGACTGAGCGACTGAACGAACTGAGCTGAAGTCAGCCAAGTGCAAAATCCCTGGCCATCTGTGTGGTTCCTGGAAGGAAAGCACAGGGAAAGGAAGCATGCCAAGGTGATGGGCACTGTGAGCCTGTCCAACATGATGGGAGGACACAGAACACAGGTGCACATCACTCAGCTCTCCCTGGGGAGAACTTCCAAACCCGCCCACCTCTTTACAGGTCGCTTCCCCTCACGAGCAAATCCAAGGACTGTATAACCTTCCAGGGTAAGTCATAGAGGTCGAAGAGGACATGACTTGATTGAAGAGCGAATGAAAGAAAGTGACCAGGACAAAAAAAGAGGGGTGCTTATAAATTCCATTATTCTGGATAAGTAGACCTATGGTTCTGTATATGTGCGAGTCTCCTTTAAGAGTGCATGTGTGTGTCTGTGTGTGAGCTATCAGAACGGGCTGGGCTCGGAGATGGAAGAATGGACACCAAAAACGTGAAAGAACTTATGTAAAGTACATAGACCATGGGGCAGCAGAAGCATGGAAGCCAGGGAAACGAGCCCAGGGATCTCACCAAGCAAGCAAGCTGTAAGTGGAAACAAGCTGCTGCACCCTGGATCCCTGCCAGAAAGGAAAAGCTGGAAGAAAGCAACTGGGGGTGGTCAGTGAGAATGCACAGAATATGAAAACGAGAATGGGGTAGATTCCCAGGCACAGAAGAGGCAGGGCCTACAGCCCTTGGACGCCCAGCTACAGAGACGTTTCTGTCCTTCTCAAGTGTAGGAACATTCCCCGGCATGACCAGGCACATGAGCACACCTTGCCTTTTTTGTAAGCTTTGGGAGACAGACAGGCACTGCAGCATAAGCCTCTGCTACCTGCAGTTTGCCAGTTTGAAACATCACTCTTTGTGTTCTTCGCAGAACCCTTGGGTATCAGGACTACGCAAAGCATGAATTAGGTTGATTCTCTCACTGCTCCCATCCCCACAGGGCTGGGGAGACAGGGTAGGCTGTGATGTGTTCTCATGTGGAGGCTAGATGAGAACAGAACAACTTGCAAAGGGCCTCTATATGGTAACTGGGCAGACTTCAGTTCCTCTAGTATGAAAAAGAATCATGGCCCTTAATGCAGTGCTGTCCTCAGTATCTCACTGACTGGCATTCCAACAGGGTGCTGGGAGTTCCTTCATGCCAGGAAGAGCATGCCCTGTTTCTGCCTCTCTCCAAAGTGTAGCCAAGTCGCCTTAGTCCTATGCAGTGTTCATGTCTGCCATGCAAGGGATGGAAGGACGCCTGTTCCCTGCTATGGTTCAGCAGAGATTGCCTGTGTTCGCCTCTCAAGTTTGAGAAAGCATCGTCCGAATGTGTGGACTGACAAAGTCAGATCTCCCCTGGATGCACCTCACACATTGCCCACCTGCCTTTTATTGGACACATTGGGAGAGCTCCCAGTGGTTAAAGGTCCTCTGGGACACAGGAATGTGCTTTTTCGATATGGAAGCAAGGAACTCGTGGTTCGAATTTCCGGAGGCCAAGTCAATGGCAGTTGGCACGTGGGACGTGCCAGATACGAGGCAGGGAAATTATCTGGACAGGCACGTTGACTGGAGCAAAGGCAGCCACGTGTGGGCGCTGGAGCCCAGGACCCCCTGGAGCAATTCCCTCTGGGCTAGGGGCATGTCCCTGGAGGGTGCCTCCTACTACCTTCTCTGTGATTGGTCGAGATTTTTGCCCAGTAACCTTGGCATGACCCACAGCTCCAGCAGTCTAGGGGGCCCGAGTGCCTGGATGATTCAGGCTGGAATGTGCACTGTGCCCCAGGCCATTCCCCACCGTTTTCTTCAGTCTCAGAACACCCCCAGAAGAATCAAGCCATCTCCAGAGGGTGACTGCAGCCTGTGGGCAGGCTGGGCATGCCACCTGCTGTGCTGTCATGTCCAGCCCCTTAACTGCTGCCCCAGCTCGGGGTCAAGGCCAGGGCCACGTGGAGAGTGAGACACAGCCAGAAGAAGGCTGGAGCCGTGGAGGACTGTGGAACTTTGTAGTTGTGATCCTGGGGTCAGGGGGCAGGGTCCCTGCGGCCTGCCCGCACCGTGGGGTCATCAGGGACGTTGCAGGCACCAGGGGACGTACTAGGCGAGGAGGTCACCTTATTCAGGGTGGAGGCTGTGTGGAAGTCACAGACCTGGAGGGGGCAGAATTGGCGGGGATCGTGCTGCTGCTGGCTCCAGCTGCTGGTGGAAGACATTATGTAGGAGACGGAGGTGGTGGCTGACAAGGAGAAGGAGCAGGTGTCCTCGTAGGTGTGTGAGGAGAAGCCAAAGGAGTAGAGCCAGGAACATTCAAGGTCCAGGCCAGGAGCCCCGAGTGAATGGCCTGCGCTGGAGGGACTAGAGGTGCTGGCAGCCCCGCAGGTGGAGATGAGCTCTCGGCATGAGAAAGACCACAGGACCTGCGCTCCTATCAGGTGGCAGAACCGACAGAGGAAGAAGGCTCACTTGGCTGGAAGAAGTGCCATCATCCAGGGCATCCCTGGCTTCCGGGTCAAAGCCGTATCCTGACCTCCACTCCATGGGTTCGAGTTCTCAGGAGGAAGACATGGAGGGGGGCAGGAGGAAGGTTGGGGAAGAGGGCACAGGCAAGCTGAAGGGGCTGAGGGAAGAGGGCTGGTGGAGTGGCGGTCTCCAAAGGCACCTCGCGAGGAGAGCCTGGGCAGGCCCACCACAGCTGTGGGTGTCAGAGGCATGACTCTTGGTGCCTCCTTTACCCCTGCATCTGAGGGGCAGATGCACAGGAGTCTCCGGCGGGGACGCTGTGTCAGGAGTTACCAGTGACAGTAGGCCAGAGGAACATTCCCAGAGAGCTTCCATCGCAACTGTGGATAACCCTGGAAAGTAGTAGAGACAGCAGAAGCCTCACAACAAATCCCGGTCCGTCAGAGCCCCTGAAGGTTCCCCCACGAGTGCAGTGCAGAAGCACGAGGGTGTCCACCCTTGTGGAGCTGGAAGGGACTGCTGTCCTTGTATGCTATGAGTGAAAGACGACTGCAGACACATCCTTGCCACCCCTTTTGAAGACAGGTAGCAGATCAGAGACCCAGGGCTTTCTTGCTAAACAGACACAGAGACACACAAGGATACCCACACACAACACACACACTTACCGCAGACAAGACGTGCCGCAGAGACTGCCGTTCCTGACATTCTAAACGGTGACATGATGCTACCCATCACAAGCCAGGCAGACATCAGGAGCAGTCAGAAACACTCTCCCTAGGCGGATGCAGATAGCCTCAGATGCAGAAGACCTCGGGGGACCGAGACTCATGAGCATGTCTGATGGTATGGCAGGGGCTGGGGACAGCGGTGGGGTGGCTGGGCACGAAGGAGTGCCCAGAGCCCTTCCAGATGCCTGTGTCAGCATCCGTGTCTGCCCCAGACAAGCCCTGTTGCTCGTGGCAGTCCCTTTCCCAGCATTTGACATGACTGCCTCCTTGACGTAAAGCAGATTATGAACCACCCCCAGGTGTCCATCAGTATCAGTAACTAAGATGAAGACTTGGTTAACGACATGATGGATTTGAAGGTCTGTGAGGGAGACTCAGAGGACTGGTGGGTAGGGGAGATGAATGGGGAAGGATGAGGGGGAATCATGTTATCCCTGTGCGTGTGGTGTGAGCATTCAGAGAGGAGTAGCAGGAGCTGTTGATGCCTGCCTGGCAGGCAAGCTGAGGTCCCGAGAAGCTTGCACCTTTTCCCTCTTCCTGGTCCTGAAATGTGCAGGAGCTGAGCCATCCCTGGTCTCTGCAAGCTGATATTTTCCTTTTGGAACAACCCCTACTCGTGGAAGACAGTGATTATTAAGGAATGCTACCTTGACATCGCTGGCACAACTTAGCTCCCAGTGCAGTGTGAGTGTGGGGGGAGGGAGTGCATGCTCCTCCTGCATGATGCTAGCCTGCCTCCCCTGTATTCCTCCAGGATCCAGGTTTCCTCCAGGGTGCGTCATGCACCTCTAGGCCACTAACTCTGGGATTATGAAAGGGGAGCTCCCAGCCATTGGGCTGCACAGCAGCAGCCTTAACTTCCTCAACTATCTGTCAGACCACAACTGCCCAGGATCAAACAGGATTGCTGGGGTGGAGTCTCTCTGGGCCTCTGCAGAATTGGTGATTGGTATTAGAGTTCTTGGCTGCTCATGGGAGGGCTCGGGGCCTGGTCAGCCCAGTGCTGGCCTTGTTCGTGTTGCCAGCAGATCACCGACGAAGACTTGTTGATCGATCCCCTGCAGCACTACCCAGGTAGAAGGTTCTGAAACGAGAGGTAACTGAGAGAACATGGGTTGTGAGGGGATCAGCAGCTGGGCCCTGAAGGCACAGCCGTGTAGAGGCCAGGACACTCCTTTCCCACATGGGGAATCTCAGGCTCATGCAGGCTGGATGTGGAGCCTGGATTTGTGTCATGCACATAGACTGGATGATTGAGGACCTCATCCTCAAGTCATGCTTAAGTCACTTCATCTCCAAGTCCTACACGAAGCAGCTGTGCTCACAGCATGAGAGTCCTATGTGATTCTGATAGAGGCAGGGTTAATCTAGCTCCTTGGTCAGAATCTTCCTTCCCTGGGTCCTGCCATCCACAGGCCTCCTGCTGCTCATTGAGTTTGAGATTCCCTTGGTCATTCACCCCCACCCCTTCTCCTGGGAAGCCCCACCAATTGCAACGGACTTCTCTCTGGTGTCACATTGCACTTTTGTGCTCAATTTGGAGTCTTCTCTGAATTTCCACATCTGCCACTTGACCTCTCACCACCAACACACAGTCAAAGATGGAAATGGCTTAACAGTGGCTGGTGATAATACTGAAGGGCTGGGGGGGGGGGGGGGAATGGACAGGGATCCCAAAAGGGCAGGACATGGAGCCTACTGACATCGTCTCCCACATTGCTGGACACGGGCGTCTTCAGCTACTGAAACACCTGTGTTCCCTGTTTGTGTTTATGTCCTTGTATCTTGCACGAGTGAGTGTACACAGGCGTGCTTGTGTCGCCTGTGTTTGTGCATGTGTCTGGCCTGCTGCAGACACAGAGGTGAAGGTGACAGAACATGAGACGTGGAGCAACCAGAAGAGGAGGCACGAGGCATCCACAGACTCGGGGAGACTGGTTGAAATATCTCCGCAGTGCCCATTTCCAGGACAGAAGTGAGGAAAGGATGGCCAGTGACAACTGTCCTGCAAGTGCCAGCCAATCACACAAATAGTATCTCCTGAACTTCTAGGCCGTTGCACTGCAGTTGGTCTAGTCTGGCATTCTGCCCTCGCTTGGAGAATTAGAAGAATGCTTATGAATGCAATTTATAAAATCCAGATGTACTCTTTACATGTTGAAAAAGATAGTGTATAACTTGATGAAAAATTAATACATACTTATAAAACGTAAAGTTGCTGGAAAAATACAAGGAAAGAAGTAAATCAACGGTGATATCATTTAACATTAGGTCAGAATTCTAGGTTCCTGGGACAGGGAGATAAAAAGGTGAGGGTGCACTAGTTGTTTTAGTATAAAATTATCTTTTCTGCTATTTGAATGCCAACATAGAACTTGATTCTGATAAGTGATTCTTGCTTTCTTTACTTATCTTTCAGCCTCCAATTTTACAAATACCTAGTAATTTGACCACCTGGTCCTGGCATTGGCCCAGAGCTGCAAAGGAGCTGGACACCAAAGCACAGCAGGTTCCCACAGCCTCAGTCAGTTCAGTTCAGTTCAATCGCTCAGTCGTGTCCTACTCTTTGCGATTCCATGAACCGCAGTACGCCAGGCCTCCCTGTCCATCACCAACTCCGTTAGTCCACCCAAACCCATGTCCATTGAGTCGGTGATGCCATCCAACCATCTCCTCTGCCGCCCCCTTTTCCTGCCCTCAATCTTTCGCAGCATCAGGTTCTTTTAGAATGAGTCAGCTCTTCGCATCAGGTGGCCAAGTTATGGGAGTTGCAGCTTCAAAATCAGTCCCACCAATGAAGACCCAGGACTGATCTCCTTTAGGATGGACTGGTTGGATCTCTTTGCAGTCCAAGGAACTCTCAAGTGCCTTCTCCAACACCACAGCTCAGAAGCATCAACTCTTCAGCACTCCGCTTTCTTTATATTCCAACTCTCACACCCATACACATCCAGCCTCAGTCACTCCCCTCCAACTGGTTTCTTGCCTACAGCTCTGAGCAGGGAATGTGAGACATGCTTGTTCCCAGAGCCTTGTAACATCACACATGTGTAATATGTTGGTGAGAGGAGACTGACTTCTATACCCTGCCCTCCAGACCCTATCAAGAATGGATGAAATGGATCCTAAAGGCCTTTCCTCACAGGAACGTGCCCCTTGAAATAATGGGCACTCTGGCAGCGGTGACCCAGTTGCCAAACTCGGCTCATGACGAAGTCGTGGCTGAGTCCTCAGAAGCCGTTTGCATGAGCAACGGTGCAGAAGAGCCTGATGCCAGGAGCCATTATGAGAGATCCCACTCATGGCAAGGTCATGAGGAGAAGACCTGACACGCAAGGCCGTTCAGGACACGAGGGACCCTCCAGGTTGACCCCAGCCTCTCTCTACCCCATCCTGTATCCTCCCCCCTTTTGTTGCTGTTTTTCTTGTTCGCCCTGCTGCAAATTCTTGTGTTGCCTGCCGAGAGCTCTCCTGCTCCTCTTTCACTGAATAAAGACCAACTTAAATCCCTAATTAATAAATCTATTGGACGCTGGTACCCCATGAAGGGGCCAGGGATGAAAGAAATGCTTTAATTCAAACCCTTTTGCTGGCATTCTGGCTTGTTTGGCAAATGTGTGCTCCCATTGCAAAAAAATGCTCATGATTGTTCTAAACATCCTAAGCACAGTACGCTAACAAAAGAAACCATTAAGCATAGGTCCCTCCGCAGGGTGAGAAAATCTCCATAAACAAAACAGTCAAATAGTCAAAAATAGCAGTAACGTCCCCTGTATTAAATAAGATTAAAAATGTTACTGCTTCATGGCAAATAACATAGCTGAATGTGCTAGACAAAGGTTATCGTGTTAGAGCCACAAGATGAGCATAATGGAAAATACTTTAGATAGAGATTAGCTGGTGACTTCTTGCGGGTAGTTAACTTTTAGACTAAGAGCCTGTTCTGTGATATATCTGCTGTTTTTGCAGTCCTTTGCATTTCTGTTCCGTAAAAATGTAATCCTATCTAGTTCCCATAGAGATGACGCCTATTAGAAAGAAAATAGATTAACCACAAGAAAAACAGGGTCAGCTACTGAAGTTGCTTAAGTCACACCAGGTGCAAGCCATAAAATGTTGACAGGCCTGAAGGCCAAAAGATATTATACATAGAGATTAACCATAAAAAAAAGACTCTTGTAAACAAAAAGTATGTATCCTGTTTCTGTGGAAGGTCAAGTTGCTATAATGTTTGAGCTGACCTTTGTGTAAGCAACATGCACTTCCCCCCAAAAAGATGTTGTAAAAGGTATAAAGGGGAAGTGCAAAAATAAACTTCAGGCTTACCCCCCGAGCTTTGTCTCACTGTGTCTTTTCTCGCCGATGCCGTTCATCCTGAGGGTACCCCTGGATCCTGCTGGGGCTGGACCCCGGCAGCCTGACGAGCGAGTGGGACAGCAGGGCCAGTAACAGCCAAATCAAGGAACCTGAAGCTGATGCTTCAACCCTCCTCAAGCCTGAAATTGCCTCGGGCAGTGGGCAACTACTTGTGCTCAGGAGTCCACACAGGTGAGACAGGGTTCCTGGGTACCTCAGGGACAGAGGTGCTCACCTTGGATCCAAACTTCAAGCCCTGGGCAGGACGTGGGGTTGGGGAGATCAGCTGCTGCAGAGTCCATCCCAAAACTTGTGTGCATTAGGCTAGAGCCATGTAGGGAATGCAGCCAATCTCTGGGGAAGGAGTACACCACTTCCCTTGGCTCCCTGCCTGGCCCCCATGTGGCACCCCCTAACCAAACCATTCTTGAACACCTGGCTTAACATCTGTCAGCTCCAGGCATAGGGACACAAATGCAAACAGGGAACACAGGTGTTACAGTAGCTGAAGTACCAGTGGCTCATATAAATAAAGAGATATCCTTATTTCTTAGGAAAATAGGAAAATCTCCATTCTGATCTTCAGATGTGAAATATAGAGAATTCCAACTTCCATGAAGGAGGATTAGTGCCTAGATTTTGATACAGGACATATAGAGAATTTCATAGGGGAAAATCCTTGTCTTGATATAAATGAGACATACAAAGAATTCCATATTTCATGAAGAAACAATGGTGGCCAGAATTTCATTTTTGAAATAGAGCTGATTCCAAATCCATATTACTTCCCCATATCTTAATTGCATTCTTCATGTCAGTAAAACTTAATTGAGATGTTCATATAGGATGTTTACAATTTCACAATTCAACCAGGAAAATCTAGGCTCAACTTTCACATGTGAAACATCTAGAATTCCATATTCAGGAAGGAAAAAGTGTGTGCATATATCCATATGTGAAACATACAAGATTCAATATATGAGGAAAGAAATATACAAGTAGATTTTCAAACAAGAAGCACAGCTTTCTTTTTTCATATAGAGAAACCTGCACCCATATTTTCTTAAGTGAAATATAGAATATTACCTATTTCATGCAGGAAAATCATCATTCAGGTTTGCATATGCATGAAGCAGGGCATCCAAAGCGAGTGCTCTGGAACAACCCAGAAGAATAGGGTAGGGAGGGATGTGGGAGGGGCTTGACGATGGATGGGACACATCGATACCCATGACTCATTAATGTTGATATATGGCAGAAATCATCCCAATATTGTACAACATTTATCCTCAGGTTAAAATGAAGAATAAATACATTTTGAAAGAAAACATAAAAGAACAAGGGACTCTACTTCAGTGATCTCTGGTGACCTAAATGGAAAAGGAATCCAAAAATGAAGTGATATATGTACAGATGAAATTGATTCAGTTTGACTGACTTAGAGCAAACAAAATTGTAAAGTGACTATAGTTCAATAAAAAATGTTTAAAAATATGACAAATAAACTGTACTTCCAGCAGTGAAGAAATAAATGGTTCTCCCGTTTGCAATATTTATGTCCTTGAGGACATTATGCTAGATAAAATACTTCAGTTAGCAGAAGACAAAAATTTTATAATCACATGACATTGTTAGAATACCTGAGTTATAGAAACAAGAGTGGAATGTGGTTTATGAGCTAGTGGAAATGGACCATGATGGTCCAGGTTACCAACTTTAGTCATAGGTTAAATAATCTCATCAAGAAAGACTGTAACAGAAGCAGGATGGACATGGAATGGCAGCCCTTACGACAAGAACACAAGTGAAGTTTGAAGTCCAACTCCACCAAGAGTCAGTCTCTCAGTAGAGTGTAGTGAAAGTCTCTGGCCTTGGGCTGGGTAGCGAGCAGCAGAGTTCCGGGACAGGCTGTGTCTTGCAGAGGCTTAGAGTCCATGCGTGAGCCACTCACTGAAATGACAGGTTTCAAAGCAATAGCCAATGTGTCCCATTCCCACGTTCATGACTTAATGGTTCTGGCAATTTGCATGGGTCACTGTCTGTGGGACCCAGTGCCCCATTTGGCTAAACTGAGGAGACTGAAGGCCAGCTGCATACTAGGCACCTGTCTCCCTCACTGAAGATGGCCAGGTATGGTATGGGGATCTCGGTAAGAGGAGGGCACAGAGAACTGAGAGTTGCCTCCTCAGCTGGGACTGGGCACTGGTGGGAGGAACAAGAATGGGTGCTATATGAATGCACCCAGGCAGCATAGCCAGCCTGCACAGGGACACCATCCTCCTAACCAGGACCTTGGAAGGTGAAAGTCAAACTTGGGGCCTTTCCTTTCAGGATAGGGAATAAGATTTGTTTCCATGGAGGTTTAGAGGAACACCATTACCTGACCCTGACCTTACCTCAAGAACAGAGGATCTACAGGAAGAAGTTTGCAACAGCTAATCACACACCCTTCCCTCACCTTTCCTGTAAGTGGGCTTTGCTGAAAGCTTTCGGGAAGTTAGCCTTTTTAAAGGTGTAAGCCACCCAATTCCTTGCATGTCCTGCAATAAAAATCCCTGTTTTAAACTCCGATGCTCTGATATTGCTTAGCTTAACTATGTTGGGCACGTGGGAATTTGGTAACAGTAGCACCTTATCTCTCAAGTCTTTGGAAGGTAGCAGACTATCCAAGAGAATGCCTCATTGCAAAACCACAGTCTCTCATGAAAGTATGAGAATGTGTATCCTTCTGTATGAAGCCAACTAGGAAAGGCTGATGGTTACCTCAATTACCAGGTGATTTTAGGACAAACTGAAAAATGTTGTCATCTGGTCTTATTTCAAGACTACTTATTATTTGGAAAATTCTGTAATGAACTGGTTTGCTAGGATACACATATACAGTATATCGTTTGTCTTTACAATTTTTAGTAGATTCCATATCATGAGCATCACATTATGGTTTAATATTCATTCAAAAACAATAACTGTTTTCCTTCCCTTATGTCTTTGTGGTGAGGATTTCTAGGTTGGTAAGAAATTTCGAATTTTTGTTTCATCTATATTACCCCTGGACAACCCATTTTTCTTAACCAGCTGCTTTCTGGGTTGGGGAGACCTGGTTACTGGGGTGAACCTGGGAAACAGATGCATATATAGCAGTACCAAGTGGAAAGAAGAAAATCAATATAATGCAATAAATTGTGTATTCTCAAAATTTGTATGTTGAAGCTCTAACTCTCTGTGCTTTAGTCAAACTGTGAGTAAATTATAATTTCTTTAAGGCCCTATTTGGAAATAGGACCCCTAGATAGGTAGTTGGGGTAATACGATTGGCACTTCATAAGAAAAGGAGCTCAGTCAGAGACAACACAGAAAAATTCCTATGTGAAGACAAAGCCAGAAAATGGCCACTAAAAATCCAAAAGAGGTCTCAGATGAAAACAAATCAGCTGACCCTTTAGTTACTGACTTGATCCTCGGAAGTTTGGAAAATATTTTTGAAGCTCCCTGGTATGGGACACTTTGTTATGGCAGCTTTAGCAAACCAATATATGCATTTCTCTTGAAAAGAATCTGTCAATTCCAAAAGAATCTGCCTTTTCTTACATAGATTTTCAGGGAATGGAAACTGGAGAAGAACTCTCTTACCCATCACCTGACAATCCTCACAAAGTCCTAGTGTTCCCATTCTTTCTTTAGAGATTCAGCTGGGTTAGAACTTATTCCTACTTCATGGGTAAAGATGACATAGGAAATACTAGAATGAGCATAACTTCCAGGAAATGGTAGAAGAAAATGATACACCTTTTTTAAATCCCTGGGAGAAAAAGGGTAGTGACCAAAGCATTTCTGCCTATTGCTTTGGGAAAATCACAAAGTTGTGATGTTGTGGTAACCATGCCGACCTAAACCTTCCCTAACCAAGACGCTAGGCTGCAGTAGCCACGGGGCAGCCTAGAGGGTAACAAAGCCTCCAAAACCGTGGGAGCCACCTGGGCCTTTCCACAAGACAGCTGGCCAGGCGCGTTTGTGTCACCATTTCCACCGCAGAATTCGTAGTCTACGGCCGCCACCCTGATCACCAGCCCTCTCGATTCCTGAGAACCCCAAGAGACCACCGTTCTAGCATGCAAACTGCGTATCTTAAAAATATAAGAATACAACCCAATCCAAACTGAAGGTCTCCAACCCATGGAGATGTACATGGCCCTCAACCACACCAAGGGCTGTTATGAGTGGCAAAACCACAGCTCCAGGCAAGCTCACAGTTAACACCTGCAGCCATGCCAGACACATCCCCCGGACTGACAGGGCAGATTTTAAGTCCTCTACCAACTAGAGAAATAAAACCTCTTGACCTTCTGTCTTCGCCAAGACTAAAAGACAGAGTCTGTCCTCCAGCACATCATACCCAAGACACGCATAACTGAGAACATTTGGAGGTAACAGTCCCGTGTAGAGCACACCTTGGAGAAGAGGTACAACCAAAGTGAAGTAACATAAAAGCCTTTAGTGCCAGTTTCAGAGAGAAAATGCTCATCTCCCAGATGACACAGTCAATAGGATTCAGATCACTAATAGCATTCAACTTAGCCAGAAGGCACTGCAGGTTCCCTGTATGGAACTTAAGCAAGAAGTTTCCATTCAGGCCTGTCTTCAGGCTCAAGGTTCCATTCCTCAAATGTTTTCCTTCAGTCAGCAAACAGTTCAAAATATGGACAACGCACATGCACTCTTGGAAGATGACAAAGACTGCAAGAACAAAGAACCTTTCCAGGGCAACCGACAGAGAGTGCTACAGGTTGATTAGATGGAGGAAGATGGAGAGGAGAATCAAATGGAGATTTCAGGGCTAGGATCTGGTTTTTCAGCTGGTGGGAGCAGCTCCAGACCTGCTTGCAGAACTCAGGGACACTTGGAGCTGTCTTTTTCCATTTTGAAGACTCGCAGTGGTCTCCTCCAGAGCCCCTGAGAACTCGTATATATACCCGTCCCAGGGGTCCACACCCTTATGCTTTATGAGCATAAAACTCCACATGGCAGGGGTCTGGTGTATCCTCCAAAATTGTGTCACAGCCACATTATTCAGGCCTTCATTCTGTTCCTTCTCACCTTTCACCATTATCTAGTGTTGGTCCTTTAATGGACCAGAACCTGGTGGTCCAGAGTTGACGATAAGAAAGTAAGAGAGAGAAAGAGGCTGATATCCCCTGGCTTATGCGGAAAGCCAAGAGAGTCCTACTGTTAGGGCTCGTGCTGCTGCACGTAGGCACCAGGAGCCCTCTCGAGTGGGTGAAGGCACAGTGCGCCTTCTCGAGAGGGTCTTAGAAGCCCGGGCAAGAAAGAGGGCCTCCGCGCTCCAAGGAATTAGCCAGAAATATGAGAGAGAGAGAGAGAGAGAGAGAGAGAGAGAGAGAGAGAGAGAGAGAGAGAGAGAGAATAGAAAGAAAGAAGGAAAGAAAGACAGACATGGGGACCCAAGCTCTGATGGAGCAAAGGTGTTTCAATCAACATGGTGTGGGCATATATACTGTCTTACAAGGTGGTTATTCTCAGCAAAGATAAAGATTAAAATTCCAGACTTACAAAACATAAGACGATCCCAATCAAAGAGAGAGTTGCAAACAATCACCTTTTACCATATGGCTCATAAAAAGGAAGAGGGTACTTAGCACCTTAATGAGAAATGCCTGGATTCCTCAGCCCCGGGAAAGGCGTGCCTCTCCTCTTAATTCCTGAAGGAATTAGTAAGGGCCAGAGGGTTCCTGACAGATCCAAAAGAGCACACAGGAAGTCTCTTGTTAAATGCTTCCTAACAATCTAGTATTTAATATCTTGCCTAAAATACCTCCTTGAGAATTAGGCTGTATTTAAGTGTCTGCGGAAATGAGGATCATTCCAATTTCCTCCTACAAGGGGGTCTTAAAGCACCTTTAAGACCATTTACTTCTGGGCGACCTCCCAGAAAACTTCCATGCCACCTCTCTTTCTCAGTGTTCACGTAGCCCTCCTCAGTTTTCTACTTTCCTGTCTGAAACCCGTCTTCAGGCTGTGAGAATGCAATGAATACACTTGCCCTTGCTCCACTTGGAGCTGCCGTTTGCTATTTTGAAGACTCACAGTGGTCTGCTCCAGAGCCCCTGAGCACCCCTATATATAGCACCCCCCCGCCCAGGGAGCCACACCATTATGCATTTTGAGGTCAGTAAGTCACTTCCCCAACCAATGGTGGCCATTGGTGAGCCTTTACATCATAAAGCCCCAACTTGCCACCTAGTTGGGAGAATGGGGAGAAATTCAGATGGTCTGGTGGATCAAAGAAACATTTTTTTCCCATTCATTTTTATTAGTTGGAGGCTAATTATTTTACAATATTGTAGTGGTTTTTGCCATACATTGACATGAATCAGCCACGGATTTACATGTGTTCCCCATCCCACCTCCCTCCCCATCCCATCCCTCTGGGTCATCCCAGTGCAGCAGCCCTGAGCACTTGTCTCATGCATCCAACCTGGACTGGCGATCTCCTTCACACTTGATAATATACATGTTTCAATTCTATTCTCTCAGATCATCCCACCCTGGCCTTCTTCCACAGACTTTTTTTTGGTTTTGAATTTATTATTTAAATTGGCGGCTAATTACTTTACAATATTGTAGCGGTTTTTCCATATATTGGCATGAATCAGCCATGGGTTTACGTGTATTTCCCATCTTGTACCACCCCCCCCCTTCCCTCCCCATCCCAATCCTCTGGGTCATCCCAGTGCACCAGCCCTAAGCACCCTGTCTCATGCATCGAACCTGGACTGGCCATCTGTTTGACATATGATAATATACATATTTCACTTCTATTCTCTCAGATCATCCCACACTCGCTTTCTCCCACAGAGTCCAAAAGACAGTTCTATACATCTGTGTCTCTTTTTTTGTCTCGAATATAGGGTTATCGTTGTTACCATCTTTCTAAATACCATATATATGTGCTAGTATACTGTATTGATGTTTTTCTTTCTGGCTTACTTCACTCTGCATAATGTCTCTGTCTGCAATTTCTAAAATCTATACCACTTCTGCCTCCGCTTCAGTTCTCAAGGGAAATTTAGTATGATTTTTCTTGTCTTTGATCCCACAGCTAGGAAGTATTAAGGCCAGAACCAAACCAAGGTTTTTTTCCAACTCCCAAAGGAATATTTTTACCTGTGACATTATTTTACAAGACAATAGTTGTCTGCAAGCCTCACTGAATGCATTCTAAGTAGAAAAATGGAGTGGGAAAACCCAAAATGTGATGAAAAGGTCTATCTATTCATAAAATTTGTAAAAAGAAATGAATTTAGTAAGCTTAAGGCTAAATGATGGAGAAGGAAATGAAAACCCACTCCAGTTATCTTTCCTGGGAAATCCCATGGACAGAGGAGCCTGGTAGGCCACAGTCCAAGGGGCTGCAAAATAGTCGGACACTCTGTGGAGTTTCTTCATTAATTATTTTAATTGTAGAAGTTGTATCTCCTTATTTTAACTAGAAAATGATGCTCAGTTAATGTGAAGAAAATATTAATAAACTCTCAACCCCTCTCTATTCCTCTCTGATAAAACTAATGTTAAAAGCCAGAAAAAAAAAACAAACCAATAAATGGACCTAGAGGGACGGGATTGGAGGGGTGTGGGAAGGAAAGTCAATAGGGAGAGGATGGCTCAGATGGTAAAGAATTGCTTGCAATGCAGGAGACCCGGTTCAGTCCCTGGGTTGGGAAGATTCCCCTGTAGAAGGGAATGGCTACCCACTTCAGTATTCTTGCCTAGAGAATTCCATGGACAGAGAAGCCTGGTGGGCTACAGTCCATGGGGTCGCAAAGAGTTGGACACAATTGAGAGACTAACACTTTCTTTTTTTTTCACTTATATGTATACTTATGGCTGATTCACATTGTTGTATGGCAGAAACCAACACAACACTGTAAAGCAATTATCCTTCAGTTAAAAATAAATTTTACAAATTAAAATTTTTTTTTTACAAAAACCAAATGGAGTATTCCATGTGCAGAGTGAAGGAGGTGCAAAGCCTATGTGTTAACACTACTCTCTGCAATAAGACCATGTATGTCCCACCACCGATCCTTTCCTGGGTGTTACCATTTTCACTAAGAACCCTTATTTCACTATCCAAGCCAACCAGCTAAAGAAAGCTAGATACTGAGCAAACTCTGAGATGTTCATCACTTAATCCATTAAAGTTTGTATATTTGCTAGTTCATATATTAAAAGCAATATATGAACTCAAATCTCCAGAGCCTAACTATAATTGCTAGTTTTTCCTTCTTGACTAGAGATTATATGAAAAACCTGACTATTAACAGCAGAGTCACCCTTAGAGTGCAACAAACTGGGCCATTTACCCTAGCCCCAAACTTGGGAAGCCCTTTGCAACTGTTGCATGAACTAGAAAGGTGGTCTTGCAAAGAATCAGCACCAGGGCAAAAAAATTAAATTGGCAAATGCAATCAGCATCAGCACAAAATCTCCTCTCAAAGCCTTTCTTCATTATGACTAAAACAGTGTCACATTTGTCTTCCAACTTCCAATGTCTTGTGTACCAACCGTTGAATTTTAAAGCTTTAACAGCATAAAATATAACAGGGGAAAAGTAAAACAGTAAGAAGCAGAGATGCGAGATAGGACTCAGCTTAACATATCATTTAATATAAGATGATTCATTCATTCAACAAATATTTATTCAGCACCTACTGCGACTGGAAACACAATTGTTAGCATCCCCAACATATCCTATTTTTACCCCAGCCAGAAGCAGGGCAGACCGCCCTTCAGGGCCCCCATCCATAAAATAGAGCTAATAACTACTCTCATAGAAATGTAATGGATTAAACGTGGCACACCAACCTTTAAAGTGTTCTGTGCTCAAACAAAATCATACAGCTTAAAGGTTGAAAGGTTTTCAGAACAGCATGATTTTAAAAAAAAAAAGCCTAAAAAGGTAAAGATATATATATAGTAGGCTAATGTTTATCCCTGGACAGGAAAGTGCCTTAAACATCTCTGTATCCTTCAAGGTATTTGGCATACTGCCCTTCCTTTAACAAGGGTTCAGTAAATACACATGATTCTTTTTTCCTTTCCCTCTCTCTCAGGTATGTTGTAGTGAAGTTATTTTAATACTCTGGCAAAGGAAAAAGAATGCACGAAAAGAACTAATATCTATTGCTGCCTATTACATACCAAGTAATGTGTTGGGCATCTCATCTATGTTATTTCATTTAATTTGCACAGCTACTTTGTTAGGTATTAATAACCACAAAACCAGGAGTAGATTTCATTTTCCAAGAATCATATCATAATAAATTCAAACTAAAAAAAAAAAAGAGCAATGGACCTTATATTTGGCAGCATTTGCTCATTTCATGTTAAAGGGAAAGAATCAAGTGAACCTTGTAAGAGACTTAAAAAAAAAACTTTATGAACACACACACAAAAAAGAACAGGAAATAAAATATATATAGAAAAACACAAATATCAAAATAACAAATTTTGTAAATATTTAATCTTACAAGTAACTTTTTAAAATCCAACAAAAACCAATACTAGGGACCAGAATGGACAAAATAAAACTGGCAACCTTTCCTTTAGGTGAATCAGCAGTGTTCCCTCTACACCCTTCACAAGCATGGCACACTCCCATCAGTGTCACCTATACATCAAGCCCAGTGATCC